ACGAATAAAATTATATACAAGCAAATAATAATAATGCTTGCGTAGAGGTTCGTGCTGAGTCATTATCGTCAGCCCTATCAGATGGACTCATACACATTTATACAGAATTGACTCGTGAAACAGTGTCCACTGCAAAAAATAACGAAATGTTCTAAACTAGGGTAACTGAATAAGTTATACCATAAGTTTAACCTCACTTACGGGGCCAGGCGGATGGTCGTAGATTGCGGCAAGGTGACTGTGATAGGCTTCAAACTGACTATTGCGTGTTAGCAAGAAAAAAAGCTAAAAGGGTAGGTAGTGATTTTCAACTTCTTGTCTATACGCTCCGATACATTTCGCTATATGTAAACACTTTGTGCTTATTGCGTACAAATTTCTGTTCGTTGTCTTGGTGAATACGGTACGTACGGGCCAAAGGGTCAGTGCCATCTATACGGAAGCCGATTTCTAATAATTTCTAACTAATTGAACGTCCCATTGAAACGGTACGCGCTAAGCACGATCTGACCGATTGGCATCTAACGAGCTGAGGATCCATTTCTATTGACACCTTCACAGTACGTTACGTATCTGCACCGTTCCGTTAGCTGCTATCGTATATCATCGATACTCTTACTAGAGTATCTAGAGTATAATGTCATTAACCATGCCTGCAGTTTATCGACCTCAAATGATTTCTTCTTTTCGTCTACAATCGATACAGGGTATCTTCTTAACATACGTAGCTTTTTCTTACGTATTCGAAGAGTTTGCTATCTGATAAAACCATGGTGCCAATCTGCTGGCTTATATATTGTTTAGCTTCATCTCCTGCAGGAGCACAAGTTATCTTTCCTTGTACATTAAGGACAAAGCAATAGCTAAGAAATAGTCTATATCGAAATAGATGGGTTTCTATTTAGAGATAGGTGATTTTAAATATATTTCACAATTGCAACATTACCAAGATCACAATAAAAATTTTGATAACAATAATTATAAGACTCTACAGAAACTTTCAAATCGCTTCAAACTTCAGAACTCCCAAGTCTTATGACTGAAAAGCGGTCACTTGGTGGGCAAGCTAAAAATGACTATCAAAAGTCCATTGAGCCGCAGAACAAAACGCCCCCCAAAAAATTATTGGATAAAATGGAAGCCGATGCGTCAAAAGTTCAGTGAAGAATCAGGTCAAATTGAGCTTTATGAACTACTCCAGTTCACACTTAGGCTTTCTCAGAAAAACTACCTTACAGGCTCTCAGGCGTAAACGACGTACACAAACAAATTTAATATAATTGTCACGCGTTGCTACTATTTATGCAGCTCTGCATAACAGTGGAGTATGACACCGACGTTGAAAGCCTATACATAAAGGAGTCCTGTAAATTTGAAGCTTTTTACAGCTTTTGATTAGAACATTACCATTATTACACATGTCTGTCCAAACTCAATTTTAGCGACTTACTCATGACCTTGTGGAAAAATCGTCCAAAGTGGATATTGGTGTTCTGTCAAAGAACCTGAGCCAACCGATATGACGAGTTATATTGTTTTTCTACGCCTATCAAGAAACATAATTGTAGAAAAGCAGCACGTCATTGAAATAAAACCGCGATATAAGGTAAATAACTACTTAATGAACTTCTGTATAGATATTTTATATTAAGTATATCACGACCAAACCTACAAACTAGATCCTTATAGCATACATCTTTCCAATCCACAGCTCAAATAACAGCTACTTGCACGTGTACAGGCTAACGCTATGTAAAGACGAAACGACTTTCCTTTTATTTCGTTAGCCAAACACATGAACTTGGAAAATTTAGGATAGAAAAAAGGTTGGTATGATTTTTCTCAGGTTTACAAGATAAAAAAATTCTTGATTGACTTTTATGCGAAACTATAGTAAAACGTCAAACGAAGTTAATGAAAAGAAAAACAAAAGACCTCTTTTGTAGAAGATATGGTCGGGCTACGGTAAAAGCAGCTCAAACATACGGTGGCCATTAAAAATTGCGTGATGATTTGCGTTAAGAGCCTGGAAAGCTTGATGAGCAGATGAACGCTGCGCTTCAAACCTCATCGTGCTGAATCAAGAGCTTTGACTTTTGGCTCCCCTTAGAAATGGACGCTCTCTAGAATGGAGGCAGATGTCTTTTAGAATGGAACGGGGCTACACGTATACAAACGAGTTTATATGGTTTGTGCATATTTTCAATATCTATCTATCTATGTAAATCTATCTATCTCTCTATCTATGTAAATCTATCTATCTCTCTATCTATGTAAATCTATCTATCTATCTATATCATCGATCTATACAATCGATCAATAAACAATTTAAACGATCAGTAACATTTTTTCCTAGGTAACTGATGCTTTCTTCGCTGTCCGTAAACTCATCTATTTGTCGTTTAAATATGGTCTTCAAAATACAGTACTATCAAGTAATTCAATCAAATGATTGTGTCATCCCCATACGCGTACCTATGTTTTTTTTTTGGATTTGTTTTTTGGACTACAATTGGACAATATCCTGATAAATCAACAACGTGTAGCAAATGAGACATAAGTAACGTATTATCCATCTACGGCAATCGATCGATATTATTTTTTTAGTTGTAAACTTTTCCTCACCTGTATGGTAACAACAATGAGCTTCTCCTATTATGACAATTGTTTCCACATTGCGGTCAAGGATGGCTATACCGGTCTGTTCAGTTAGTTCGAATCCTCTTGGACCGCGCCATTAAATTGAGTTTTTTTTCCTTTTTAGAGTGACATCAATCAATAACTAGCTGTCATTTCTATTAATCGGATAGACATCGCAAATCGAATCTACATAAAACCTATGCACACCAACGCAATGTCGTTTTCACGGTCAAAAGGATCCAGAACGCATCCCTATAGCGACTAGTAACAGTTATGTTAGCGTTTAATTTTTGACTAACGTCCGCTTAGGTCTTTACGCATACTTTATGTATATATTACGTCCACTAGTATCGCAATTGTGCGCGTTATATAACCGTAAACATAAAACAAGCGAGCGGATTTCGTCGTCGAGGTACGCAATTTTCCTGTCCCTAACTCGGTTCCGTAACTAATCATGCGCGATTAACAAAATAACGAAAGTATACTACCGAAAAGAAAAATGTCTGACTTTCCAGTTTGTTAGTTACTGTGTAGCTTGGATGATGGCTGGGTTGAGTGCGACACCGTCATGTGCGCTAGTACTTACTTACCTGCTTTATATGTGTCTTGTATTTGAAACTTGGTAAGAGACGCCAACCGTCTGCAGCGGTAGTCAAGGATCAAGAACCGCAAATTTGGCCATTGCCTGAAATTTATCACAAATTTGGGAAGATCTGGTGGGTGCTACGAGATAATAGGCTTCTCGTAGCCGCGCTTTTAGATCTATCTTTTGCGAATATGGACGTACTCTTCCATCCCTGCCTGCAAAAACTAAATCGAACGGAAACTGAGCGTTTCGCGGTCATCTCTCATTCAAACAATCGTACCAAACTTTGACGGGTATCGACAGCTTTGCACTGACTGATTACCGGCAAAGATTATTAGACATACGGATGAGCCCAAGAAGAGATCAGTGTTTTAGCTACGAACAATGATCTGTTCATGGCTTTTCTAATTCGCTAGTCACTGTTGACAATTGCCAGCAATTTCCAGACAGAAACAATCACAGTGGCTGTGCCATCTGTCGCCGACCTTTCTGAAATCTTCCGTACCTGCTTTCCCGTCCCCCGAAATCAACCGAATTTACGCCCTGGCAGCCATCCTTGCTATATTGTACAGCGTGTTTCTTCTATCTGCCAGCCAGCCAGCCAGCCAGCCTACTGCTATTAACACGTATTAGGTTATAATACGTGAGCGCACGTGCCCATGTCAATGAACATAGCATAGGTGGCTGTTGTTGCTGATGCTGGTTTCTCAATAAATAGAAACGCAAAATATAATGAGGACGTTATTTCTATCAAAATAATCGATTGCCTTAAGCGTTTTCTAGCAAAGAAAAGGGTGCGGTAGCCTCTAGCTTTTGTCAGTGACGTATTTATACAGCATTGGTATTGGCCCGCTTCTAGACAGCCGTAGAGTCTGTGACAAAACCGTCGTCATCTACTCAAATTCTGTGTAGTGTACGTTTTTAAAATGCGACCTGCATGTAGGCTTGCAGTAGCTTTCGCTGTCCTAGCCCCCGAAATAATTAGTCGTGGACAAGAAGATGCCGAAATGATTGGGGCAGTGAGATACGTTTCCCCATAGCATATGATGTAGGATTGTCGACTAGATTCTAGTGTATGATGGATAGTCTCTTTTTAATAAGATGAAAATTGACTTGCCATACATTGTGATCTTCAGAGAAGGACCGTGACGATCGCTGCTTGTATTGCCAAACTGTAAATAAACGCATCTCTAATGGTTTCACATTAAGCCAAGTAGTGTACGCCTACAAATGGTCTCCTGGAAGATAACTTTTGTATTCTGGTAAATGATAAGATTCCAATAATAAGGTTATAATCGCATGTTTGTATTCGAACTCGAGGTTCATTTATTGCTTAGTATCAGCTCGACGAGCAGATCTATTTCACTGGAGTGCATTATATTGCATTGCTTACAATATCATCAAACCTGCCCGATCTGCGCAGCGAATAGGTGGTTTTTCGCCTTTGGCCTGCGAGGGCTAGGATGTAGTGAACGGGTTTCCCGTACTGATGTAGTTATCTATTGTGTAGGGTATGATTATAGATTCCTACCTCAGTTCCGCCTTTGTACGATAGTGAACCGTTCGGCATGCTAAATCCTAGGTGGCCAGACCAATACACCGATCTATCATATATTTGATTGCCATTATTTTCAAATAGTTCTTTGATTTTTTGCATAAAATAGTTATTGTTGGATACGAACATGTGTCGCATGGACACGTACTTTTTTTCCCCCATTATATCGTGACATCA